CATGAACGATATGCAATGTCAGATAGAAAAACGAACTCTAGGGAGGAGAACCCTAGTTAATATAACTATTAGTTAATATAACTATAAAAACTTTATTGAGTGTAATTTAAGTGCGTGTATACAAATCAATTAATTTGAAGCTTAAAGTAATGTAATACCAACTGACTCTCATGTCTATGTTTTACAGCATTAGTTGAGATTTTTTTCCCTTGAGAAAATTTGCCATGTACTGTACCTGGTATATATCCTAAATAATCGATATTGAATCGAATCAGAATCAAATCACAAGTTTGTGAATCGAAATTGAATCGAACCATGAAAATTGTGATAATACCCAGCCGTATATTTTAGTGTACCATAAATGCTAGTCAGTAGGCCTACATTCAAATTGCATGGAACCAATTATGAAATTACACATAAAGATACTTTATCCTACTTAGGTGGTTCAAAAAAGCACTTTTTAGGCCAAACTAATTGCATAATACATTCTCATTTAATTGCTAATTTATATATACTGTATATACAGTGTGTTTGTGTGTATAATATAATATATATGCAATTAAGTGTGCAAAAACGTTCATTCACACGTAAGTATATTCTCGCATATTAAGCATATTACTGTATTAAGTACCAGGGGCGTAGATTACGCGGGGGACGTGTCCCCCCCACTTTTAATATCATGTAAATTCGTCCCCCGCACTTTTTCGGGCAAGTGTGTTCGCATAGAGGCTTTCAAGAGCTGGTGTGAATAAATATAGATTTAAATTAAATACCCAGCCGTATATTTTAGTGTACCATAAATGCTAGTCAGTAGGCCTACATTCAAATTGCATGGAACCAATTATGAAATTACACATAAAGATACTTTATCCTACTTAGGTGGTTCAAAAAAGCACTTTTTAGGCCAAACTAATTGCATAATACATTCTCATTTAATTGCTAATTTATATATACTGTATATACAGTGTGTTTGTGTTTATAATATAATATATATGCAATTAAGTGTGCAAAAACGTTCATTCACACGTAAGTATATTTTCGCATATTAAGCATATTACTGTATTAAGTACCAGGGGCGTAGATTACGCGGGGGACGTGTCCCCCCCACTTTTAATATCACGTAAATTCGTCCCCCGCACTTTTTCGGGCAAGTGTCTTCGCATAGAGGTTTTCAAGAGCTGGTGTGAATAAATATGGTTTATTTGTGTTTTTCAAGTCATCTCCAGGTAATAAATAAAGTATATGAACAATGCAGTGCTAATTGACATAGCATTTATTACAGTATAGAAACTATTCTGCCTTATTATGTGATAAAAAAAAGTGTTTGTAGTATATAAAGATTAACAAATCATTATTATTGATTATTGTCCAGCAGTTATCTGATTTCTAAGCCAAATAAAAGCTAGAAATTACAGAAAAAATAAAGTTGCCTATTCACTACCGGTCAAAAGTTTTTTAAACAGTAAAATTGTTCATGTTTTTTAAAGAAGTTTCGTCTGTTCACCAAGCCTGCATTTATTTCATCCAAAGTACAGCAAAAAAAATGTTGAAATATTTTTACTATTTAAAATAACTGTTTTCTATTTGAATATATTTTAAAATGTAATTTATTGTGACTTCAAAGCTACATTTTTAGCATCATTACTCCAGTCTTCAGAGTCACACGATCCTTCAGAAATCATGTTGATATTCTGATTTGCTGCTCAAAAAACATTTATTATTATAATGATGTTGAAATCATCTGAATAGAATTTTTTTCACTTTCCTTTGATGAATAGAAAGTTCAGAAGAACAGCATTTATTTGAAATAGAAATCTTATGTAACATTATAAATGTCTTTATCATCACATTGATCAATTTAAAGCATCCTTGCTAAATAAAAGTATTAATTTCTATAATTTATTTTCCGAAAAATAAAAATTATACTGATTCTAAGCTTTTTAATGGTATAGTGTATAATGTTACAAAAACTTTTTATTTCACATAAATGCGGATCTTTGGATCCTTCTATTCATCAAAGAATCCTGAAAAAAAAATTTACTCAACTGTTTTAAATATTGATAATAATAATAATAATAATTAAAAAAAGGTTTCTTGAGCAGCAAATCAGCATATTATAATGATTTCTGAAGGATCATGTGACAGTGAAGCGGAAAATTCAGCTTTGATCACAGAAATAAATTACATTTTAAAATATATTCAAATAGAAAGCAGTTATTTTAAATAGTAAAAATATTTCACAACATTACTACTTTTGCTGTACTTTGGATCAAATAAATGCAGGCTTGGTGAGCAGAAGAGACTTATTTATAAAACATTAACAATCTTACTGTTCAAAAACGGTTGACTGGTATGTAGATTACAGAAATGTTATACTGTAATGTTTTTTTTTATATATATATATATATATATAACATTTCTGCCCCCCTCACTTCTAAAATGATGACTACGCCCCTGTTAAGTACTCTTTTTAAAAAGTATGCTGAAGTGTATTTCATTTTTTACAAGGGCAGCGTCATTCACTGTCACGCTTTCCAGCAGAAACCTGCAAATGAGGCCCATTATAGAATGCTCCGCTTTGTGAAAGTAAAAAAGCTTTAAAAATGTTTTATTAAAAAAATATAAAAATGTTAGACCTCATACAAAATTGAGATGCATTGTCCACAACCAAGCTCTCAGATCTTGCCTGCAAACTGATGAATTTGCTAGTTTTGTGAGCATGTTTGTGTCGTCACCTGAATAACTTTAGCAAACCAGCTGCTAGAATGATAAATTATACAAAGGTCAAAACAACAATATAAACAAAAGACAAAAATGTCCACCCATGATTTAATTGGGGGAACAGTAGCGTCACATTCATTAGTTAAAATCAGCACAGGCATGTTTAATCTGTTAAAAAAGCTCTTCGTGGAACTGTAGTGAATGTTAAATAAAGCCTGGATAATCCTCATTTGAATTTTGGAATGTTCTATTCAAAGATTCCGGCCCCTAAAGACACACCATTAGTTCTCTTCAAAAGAAACATGTTCTGTTTACAAAAACCACTTACAAAGGAGTCCCCCAAGGTATAGCAGATGACATGTGAACTTCCCCGGCTACAGGAAGACGTCACCAAAATACAGTAACACTAGTACTACTAGTTACAGTACACGGCAGCGGTTACTGTGTTTAAAGCTGGGCATGTGTGAGTAGATGCCAAATGTAATCAGACATATTTGCAATTAGAAGGAGAATTCCTGATGAAGCAAGGAGAGCTAACTCTTGTGCTGTGAATCAAACTATAGGTGTTATAGAACAATACAGCTTAACACACAGCACCAGAGCATGTCTCCACTGACACCGTTTCACCTCCAGCTCTTCTGAAATTTACTGAGATGCATGAAACTGACACCTTTAAATTTCATAATAGTGTACAAAAGAGTCAAAACTATCAATTACTTTAATATGAAATCATTCAAAACAAGCCCCCCAAAAAATGCAAGATCAAACAAAATCGCTGCAAAATTTCTAAACAATCCATTATTTGAGTTTATGGTGTAATCTCTCAAAATACTGTATATACAAAAATAGAAAATAAGGTTCTCATTCTAAAAATTGTATAAAACTATAATTCCTTTTAAAATAAGTAACATCTCTTTAAAAAAATTAATACACATGCTCATGAGTAGGCCCAAATAAAATATACTGTGTATTTTTTTTTTTTTACCAAAATAGCACCTACTTTAGGTTTTCACTTTTGGTGACTTTGAGAGCATCATCTTTACATTTTTTCAGTACTATTATGGAGCATTAAAGGGATAGTTCACCCACAAATGAAAATTTGATGTTTATCTGCTTACCCCCAGGGCATCCAAGATGTAGGTGACTTTGTTTCTTCAGTAGAACACAAATTATGATTTTTAAGTCCAGCCGTTGCAGTCTATCAGTCGTATAATGCATGGCAATGGTAGCAAAATCTATGAGAGTAAAAAAAACATGCACAGACAAATCCAAATTAAACCCTGCGGCTCGTGACGACACATTGATGTCCTAAGACACGAAACGATCTTTTCATTTTTGGGTGAACAATCCCTTTAAAGAAACTAGTTGTTACAGATGAATTGATTTTTTTTAACTAAATATATTTTTACATGCTAACATTGGCCTTCTTATTGATCCAGAAAATGAATGGAAACTAAATGGACAGTTGAACATTTATCTGATATATACATTGTGTATTAAAGAAATAGTTAATAAATAGTTAACCAAAATTAAAATTTGCTGAAAATGTACTCACTCTCATGCCATCCAAGATGTAGATGAGTTTGTTTCTTAATGGGAACAGATCTGGAGAAATGTAGCATTATATCACTTGCTCACCAATGGATCCTCTGCAGTGAATGGGTGCCGTCAGAATGAGAGTCCAAACAGCTGATAAAAACATCACAATGACCCACAATTAATCCACATGACTCCAGTCCAGAAACAAAGAAACAAACCCATGGAGATGTTTTTAACTTCAAACTGCTGCTTCCAGCTAAAATACAAGTCCTCTATCCATAATATTTCTTTTTTCCAGTGAAAAAGTCATCTCGTCTGAATCAGAAGACTAAAAAAGTAATAATAATAAAGTCCAAAACAGTTTAAATATGTTAGTGGATTATGGACTTGTATTTTTGTCTGAAGCAATGTTTGAAGTTAAAAATGTCTTGATGGATTTGTTTCTTATAAACACAAATCTTTTCACTTCAGAAGACATTAATTGATGGAGTTGAGTGGATTACTTTTGGATTCTGATGGCACTCATTCACAGCAGAGGATCCATTGGTGAAGTGACGTCATGCTCATTTTTTTCCAAACCTGTAGTGACCAAACTCATGTTGGAAATTTTCAGCAAATTTGAATTGTTGGGTGAACCAATTGAACTTTGGCCTCCTGTTTGTGATAACATTGTGTTACCTGGTCTTGAAAATTTTAAAAGCATTGATCTTGTACAAATGAACAAGATAGCGATAACCTATTATTACGTTTTAATTTCAAGGTTTTCTGCTGAGTTCATGTGGGCCTGCTCATGAGCTTTAACAGACTAAAAGCAAACAGATCAAAACTACACATCAAAAACTAAAGAATGACAAAACGTTTGACTGGTTTGTCGGCACAAAAATGAGCTCTTTTCATCAGTTCATACGCTGTTGTGACGATAATTAAAGATTTTGTTATTCCAAACGTGTCCCTTCTTTTATACATCTTCAGAGCTAGCATAATTAAACAGCATTTGTTTATCCATATTTTCTTCCCAATATTCTACTGATATAAGAACACCCAATCTTATCTCTTAAGAACAATTTGGTCACGTTGGCTGCTTCATTACTCTGCTTGAGCGTGAACTTCTACCTCTGTGGTCACCAATACCGCATCTGCATTTGCAACTAAACCTGCATCTGAATCTGAATCTGCACCTTCATCCACGTCTACATCTACATGTGCTTGAGTGCCTGTCGTCCCTGCATTTTCATTGGCTGCAGCCTCGACAGGTATGACATCATCATAGTCCTCCTGTTTCTCTATCTCCACTTCATAGGTGTCCTGATCTGATGAGAACACAAAGGAAAAGGTCAGCACCGTTTCCATAAAGGCACACACACACACACACATATACAGTGAGGTGTAAATTTGAGTGATGTACCAAGAATGTTCTCGGGTCTCTTGGGAAGGAGAGGGAGGTTGAGGTCATCATCATGGTGGGTTTGAGAAGGAGAGATTCCATTGGCTTGTCCCTCAATGTCATCATATTCTGTCCCAGAAGAACCTGTCTTTCTGTCATATTCATCCTCCTCTCCTGTTGGAGAAACCAAACATGATTTATGTAGAGTCTTTAAATTGTTTCCATCAATTTTATGCGATATTCCAGTTTTGCGCATAAGTTAAATTTGAATCTTTGGATGGAAACATCACTAATACTTTTAGTTTATAGTTTACTTTGTATAGTATTAGTATAGTTTATTTATTTGGATGGACAAATGTGTAGGCAGTCAGGCAACAAACTAAAATGAACAGACTAAGTAAAAGATTGATTGACTGACATACATTGTGTTGAAATGAATGAAACTGACAATTAAAAATTACCTATTATAAGCCTAATATTTGAATATCTCACCTGACTTGTCCATGACAGAATCCACATCCTCGTAGTCATCATTATCTAAAAACGATGCCTTTCCTTCAGACAAATCTGGAAAAAAAAATAATAATAAAAAAAAAAATAAAAAAAAAATATACAGTGGGTACGGAAAGTATTCAGACCCCCTTAAATTTTTCACTCTTTGTTATATTTGTTATATTTGCTAAAATCATTTAAGTTAATTTTTTTTCCTCATTAATGTACACACAGCACCCCATATTGACAGAAAAACACAGAATTGTTGACATTTTTGCAGATATATTAAAAAAGAAAAACTGAAATATCACATGGTCCTAAGTATTCAGACCCCTTGCTCAGTATTTAGTAGAAGCACCCCTTTGATCTAATACAGCCATGAGTCTTTTTGGGAAAGATGCAACAAGTCTTTCACACCTGGATTTGGGGATCCTCTCATTCCTCCTTGCAGATCCTCTCCAGTTCTGTCAGGTTGGATGGTAAACGTTGGTAGACAGCCATTTTTAGGTCTCTCCAGAGATGCTCAATTGGGTTTAAGTCAGGGCTCTGGCTGGGCCATTCAAGAACAGTCACAGAGTTGTTGTGAATCCCTGCATGACACTCCACATTTGAAAGTATTTGGTTTAAATAATCATGTTTTTTTAATAGTTTTTGTTATTAGTTATTTATATTTGGGCTTTATGTTACATTTTCTGTTGTTTAATGAAAGTTTAATGCATTATTTAAGTATCATGTGTGTTACCATGATGGTGTTTTGTGTTTGCATGAATGACTCTGTGCACCTTCTATATATTAGTATATACTTCTGCTTGTGGCGAAGCTACTTGTCATGAGCTTTGATTCTTCATGTGGCCAAAATTATTTTGTAAAAACTACAGAATTTTTTTTACAGTGTATACATACATACATACAATCAATATATAGTTTATTGATTTTTGTACATCTTCCTCTATCTATCTATCTATCTATCTATCTCTGTGTGTGCGTGTGTGTGTGTGTGTGTGTGAATGATTTTGTTTTTTGACTTATTAGATACAAAAGTAAAATAAATAAATAAATAATAATAATAATAACAATAACATTTTGCAATTAAGGAAAGCATTAGCTTATGTCTCGATATTTACAATGTTCAAAGTAATAATAATTCAATTATACAGTATACCTCTGTCCTCTCTATCCATCTTATCCATTTCATTCACATCCGGGTTGACGTCTTTGCCATTATTTTTTCTATAATATCTTACTGCAAAAACAGAAACAGGTAGAAAAGTATGCTTTCTATTAATTCTACCGGTTATTGTTTGATGTGCAGTGAGACAAGGAGTGGGAAACACTGCCACCAACAGGTTAAAAAGATGAAGGCCTTTCAAATATCACTTTGAACTTCATCATGTAAAAATATTGTTTATCTGCAAATCAGAACAATGTCTTTCTGCATGGTGCAAGTGATACTCACAGGCTAAAAGTAGGCGTTTCCGATTTGCCCACATTAAAAACAAAATCAGCAACCCCAGCACGCCTCCTAACAGACCCAATATCAGACCCACTGAAGAATTATCTTTTGGAGTATAACCTGCAGTTTTAATGAAAAAGTTTCACAGGTTGGAATGTTCATTACCTTTATTAAAGTAAACTCACAGCTACTTAACTTCATGCAAGAAGACAAGCAGCGGCAAAACAAATCCCAGGACAATAAAAATGATTTTCCTATATTAAAGTGTAAGGCATCTGTGTTTTTTTTTACCTTCACATATGATTTCAGCAGGTCCATGACTGCATTTATCTTTTTTGAGATGGTGCATGCACTGAAAAATCTTGTAATGGTTTTTTGGGCAATCAATTTTCACCTTTATTTCATTTGCTATTTTCTGTTCATCCAGCAGTAGTTCTCCACTATCGTTGCACTTAAGCACATCACAAACCTTCTTGGTATCAGCCTCAGTCAGTTTTCCACAGACATATTCCCATTGCCCTTTATACCTGATCCCAAGCTTCCCGCCACACTTCTCAGTAGTGCCGAATTCAACACTATCTGCAATACAAAAATAACTTCTGTCATTGAAAGTATAGCACAACTTAGCATATTCTAAGCATATGACTAGTCTTTTTAATATTTCATAAAACGTGCATCTATCTGTAAACATGAATTAGGAGTACACATGCATATGAGCAAACAAAAATGGACTAACAGCCACAAAACTGGATGTTTAAAAGGGAAATTGAACATCAATTCATTATTTAACTACAGTAACAGTCCTAATTACAGTCCTACAATACGTGTATGACTCACCTTTGCAGGCCACAGAGAGGATGTTCTTACAGCTGTCATTTTTAAAGCCACACTGCCACAACAGTGTCTCCTTGCCAGTGCAGCTGAAATGCCAGCGATTTTTTTTAGCAGAGACTGTGGCCCAGCTGTGGATGGCCTTACCACAATTGAGGTTGTCACATAACTTGTCGGACATCCCATAATCCCACTGGGATGCACACACATGCTCTTTATCTATGAGCACCTCGCCTGTGCAGTTGTTTGAGAGCATAATGTTCGGAGATTTACCTGGAGAGGAGTGAAATCAGACAATCAGATATTTCTGTACTGTAAGTTAAGTATTACTCTTAAGAACTGACTCCTGTTTGTTTCAGTTCAGTTTAGCAGGCCTACAGGATCTTAAAAGGGAATGACTGAACTGCAACCAAGGATATTAGAATAAATGGGCAAAATGCTGCCATGTTGTTAGGGTCAACACAGGGTTAACACTTTGAGAGCATTCTGGGAAAAGACGTGTTCTTCTATTAATGTTTCTGTAAAAATTATTTGTTAATTTAGAGTTAATATTTATTTATATGATTATTTTTTTAATTTATTGTTTTATTTTTTATTAGTTTCAAAAACTAGTAGTTTCTTGAAAAGTCTCCATATAAATTTAGAACTAATTTGCAATAAAAAAAGAAATAAGTGTTCCTCCACTATGGTCCGTAAAAGTCAACTTGTTATTAAACTATACGTGTATGTGTGATTTTAGTTTCATTGAGATGCATTTTTTAGTAGTTTTAGTACAGTACAAGTTAAACAATGAAAATGAGAAATATTGTCTTGGCAACTGGCTGAAATAAAAAAGTTGGAATTTTTATGAAATATAAAGAAAATATAAAAATAAAAAACTAATTCAAAAGATTAATAAAAACTGTGATAGTATCTTAATGATTCAGAATTAAATTGGTAATGCCTTTTTTAATCTATATATCTATTCTGTTCATATACTTTAATTCGAGTTGACAGTCTTAGGGATGCTAACAAAAGTAAGAAAGAGATCATTCCTACGTTCACACTGGATGTTTAACTGCTGCTGATTCTGGATGGGCTGATCATTGCTCTCGCATTCCCAAATATTATTCTTCCCTGAGCAATTATAGGTCTTCTTCCACCACTCGTTCGTGTTTTTGATTATAGTGGAGTGTGATATGTAATTTCCACACTGTAGATACTCGCACAGCTTTTGTCCTTCCTCTCTGCCCCATCCAAGCCCGCTGACTTGCTGTGTGTTCCCATCTCGCAGACCATATACTGGACCACTGCATTCGCCTTCCTTATTATAGAGGAGCAATCGTTCCCAATCTGTTACATGAAGGGCAGAAATATTAAAGACCTTGTTTCACATGTGCAGGAGCAGAGGTCAAAGGTCAGAGGAGTTGCAGAAACTACACACCTCACCTAGAGAGTGTGGTAAAAATTCCCCCTACGCACCTGGCAAACCTTAAAAGTTAAATTATCCTCGGGTGACTTGTCTGACCGCATTGGAGAACCAAGACTTCTTGGCAAAGATGACATTATTACACCATTTATCTCTAACATAATTGGTTCTTCATGTGCAATTCAGGAAAACCCATAGGCAAAGCAAATTTAATTTATGATTACTTCAGGTTGTTACTCAAGTCATGGGTTGTTATGGTTATTATTACATTCAGATAGACATCTAGTCACCTTGTCCATATGCATCTGTTATAGCAACACGCTAACTAACTTTGGCTAAAGTGTTGGTACTTTTTGTTCTCAAAAGGATACAAATCAAACTTAGTTGAGATCACAAAAATTTCCTTCACAAGAGAAATGTTTTCAAGTCTGCACAGAAATAAAAAAGGTGAGTACCTGTGCATTTCAGATAGCCAACAATACATTCTTTCTCTGAAATCCCTTTGAGGTCACATTTGGAAACAGAGTTGGCACTATCCAGACATGTAATTCTTGATAGTCCTCTGGATTTAGACTCTTCAAGCGAAATCAAATCATATGTGTCATTTATGCTCTTCCCACAAAATAGTTCCTTGCAGATTGCATTTTTAAGGTTTGCATCAAGACTATCTTGGCAGATGGGTGTCCACTTCCCAGCGTAAAACAGTGACACTTTTCCAGCGCATTTGTCTCTTGGATCCTCCAGTCTAGCTTTGACGCTGTCTGTGAAGAGTGTATCAAATAAATGTTCATTAAATGGCATTTTACATTGTGTTTAAGGAATAGTTCACCCCAAAATGAAAATTTGCTAACCCTCAGGTCATCCAAAATGTGGATGAACTAAATGTATTTTTACATGCTAACATTTGTCTTAATATTGACCCAGAAAATGGATGGAAACTAAATGGATAGTTGAGCATTTATTCCAATGTTATACATTATGGTGAAAAAAAGTATAGTAAAATACACTTTATTTAAGTGCACTTAGTACACTTCCATGATGTACTTAAAATGTTCTATTTCCACACACTAATTTTGTACTTAATATACTAAAAATTATTCTTTAGCACTTCTTAAGATAATCTAAGAAGATAATAAAGATTAAGAACATCTAAGTGTACCCAACTGTGCTATTTTGGGACACCATGAATATGAACTAAAATGTGCTTTTAACATACTTTCTCTCTCTAAAAAAATTTATTTACTTACCACTTGTACACAAAAGTGTATTTATATCAAGTGTACTTAAGTAGTACAGTTGGGAAAATGTAACTATTACTTTACTAATATATGTTAAATAAAATCAATTTAATTTAAACGATAACTATATAAAAGTGAACAAATTTTTAAATCATTCAAAGCACGCTTTTTAGAAATACACTAATAAAAGTCCTCTGAATATTTTTGCGGTAGTATACTTTATTTCAATGTACTAAAAATCTATTTAAAAATCAGTGGTATTTGGTATACTTTTGCAATCTCACTGAAATTCTACTGAAGTAGAAATAGACTTTTAATTAGTGTATTTATAGTGTATAACTTTTACAATTTTATTTAGCACAAAAAAAATAAGAATGTACTATAAATGTACTTGCTGGTATTTAAGTCTTTTTCAAGTATACAAGTATAGCATTCAAGTATACTCTTTTTTTCACGCTGGGTAGTGTAATAAAGGAATAATTTCTTCATGGGAACAGATCTGGAGAAATTTTGCATTACATCACCATTGGATCCTCTGCAGTGAATGGGTGCCGTGGATTATTATTGTTTTTATCAGCTGTTTGGATTCTCATTCTGACGACACCCATTCCTTGCAGAGGATCCACTGGTGAGCAAGGGATGTAATAATGGTAAATTTCTACAAACTTGTTTCTTTATTTAGCACAAAAAAAATAAGAATGTACTTGCTGGTATTTAAGTCTTTTTCAAGTATACAATTATAGCATTCAAGTATACTCTTTTTTTCACCCTGGGTAGTGTAATAAAGGAATAGTTTCTTCATGGGAACAGATCTGGAGAAATTTTGCATTACATCACCATTGGATCCTCTGCAGTGAATGGGTGCCGTGGATTATTATTGTTTTTATCAGCTGTTTGGATTCTCATTCTGACGACACCCATTCCTTGCAGAGGATCCACTGGTGAGCAAGGGATGTAATAATGGTAAATTTCTACAAACTTGTTTCCATGAAGAAACAAACTCATCTACATCTTTGATGGCCTGAGGGTGTACATTTTCAGCAAATTTTCATTTTTGTGGGAACTTTTTCCCTTAAGGCCCATTTTATTCATGGGTTTGACAATATTTCACACTTATAATTCTGTAGAAAGGGTAAGGAGCATCTTTAGACAACCAGTCTTAAACTAAACAACAGTTGACTCATGAAATATTAATGCACTCTGTAAAGTCGAAAAAAACTTTCACACACAGTTTAGTTTCAGCGTCTGAGAGAAACTGTTGAATAGTGACATATCGATTGCAAATTTTTGGTTTACGTGGTAAGTTTTATTTTAAACATTGCCATTTTCACACATGTTAGGGTAGAGTGGGGGAAAACGCCCCCCTACTGTTTTTCCCAAAATAACCACAAGATAAAGTCAAGAAACATTTTAATTGTAACTTTGGACTAAGTTGACGAGAGTGATGTAGAAGTTTTCACCATGAAACTTACACTGGTGATGTACCGGAGAGAAAACGGATTTCACAGTAAATTATCTAATTTTCAGCAGTAAGAAAAAAAAGTGTTTTAAAGCTTGTTGTTTTGTAGAACATCACAGTTATGTATGATATGAGAACGGTAGGGCCTGTAGATAGGGAGTACGTGTTATTTAATAAAAAAAAATTTCAGTTTAACGCGTTAAAAATATTTAACGCATTTAACGCAGGGGTTGGGCTAGGGTTGGCCACCCCACTCACAACTGCTGCTTCTGTCACTTTTTCTCTTGACAAGAAGTGCATTTATTCAGTCGCAGAACGACACTTCACGACACGACACTTCCACTTCACTCCACTTCGAGGCAAGCGAGCGCGGAAACGGTACTTGCAGCGCGTGCTCTTCAATTGCACACACAAAGGCACCGGCGCACGCTGTAGCCTGTATCCTTTCATATCAAAGCGCGAAATAAACTGAAGTGGGTCAGAAAAAGTAAAAAGAGTTGAGAGAAAATATGATGCGTGTCAGATCCGCATTACATTCAGCAGCAGCAGCTCTTAAAGAAATAACAGCCAAAACAACCTAATAACCAGCTGCTGTGATGTCTGTTAATCAAAGGACAAAGAAAAAAAAGAGGAAAAATGCTTTTATAGTTTTAAGGATTCATCTATATTTAATTTAGAATTTAGTGTTTGATAACTTCAATCAATTTCAATATATTTCTGCTGAAGGGCACAGGTAAATATGACATTTATTATAATGGGTTTATGTGAAGATTGTTTTAAAGGGTTAGTTCACCCAAAAATAACAAAAAACAAAGGCCTCCTGTAGCGAATCGATGCGTTTTTGTAAGAAAAATATCCATATTCAAAACGTAATAATCACTTTAATGTACAGTCCTACATGGAAGCAGCTCTGGGCGGATGACGTATGAATTCAGCGTTGCGCCGCTCAGAAGTGACGAACGAGGAAGCGCAAAACAAAACACCGGTCACTTATTAGAAGTATAAAACGAGGATTTGTAAAGAAGAATGTCAGATATAAGCCAAGAGGAGACTGGTTTTCCTTTGCTGAAGTAAGGAGACTTTGCTTCCTTTGCTCCTGTTAACAAACGTTGGTTTTCAACACCCGCTGAGTGGCATTAAACAGCTTGAAAGATCAAAGACAATTTTTAATATAACTCCGACTGGACTTGTCTGAAAGAAGAAAGTCATATACACCTAGGATGACTTGAGGGTAAGTAATTTGTGGGCTAATTTTCATTTTTGGTCTAATAAATGTTCAAATTGATAGCTCTCAATTATATTGTAATGTTGAATGGTTAAATGGAATAGTCAATGGTTAAATATTAGGGGCAAGGGGGGCAATTTTATAAAGAAATCAGTATTGGTATCATTGATACTGGCCTTCAATCATAAAAAAAGATGCCATTAAACAAATATTTAAAAATATACTGTCTTTATGTTGTTTTGATTTTATGTAAAACCCTAATAGGCACTTCAAGATATTATAAGACCACGCAAATAGAGGGGTAAAAACTATATTAATAAATAATATATACAAATAATAATAATATTAATGATATTAACATACTAATATTAATGAAAAACTATCATTAAAAAGGTTATTTATAACACCAATAAGGTCCAATTTTCAAAGCATGGTTCTAAATGGGACCCTATAAAAAAGGTTCTATTTAGCACTAAAAAGGGTTCTGCTATTATTACAAGCTGAAGAACCCTTTTCTGGTACTGTTTAGAACCATTTTTCTTAAGAGTGTAGTCTGTGGGGTAAAACGCCCCCAGCTGGCAATGAGCAATTACTAGTTATTCTGTTCTGAACATCAAATCCTTTGTTTTTCCATCAAATGTATTCTAACTAGTTGGTTGAATAAAAATATTTGGATTTTATATTTAAAAATTACCTCAAGTTAGCATCAGGTAGCTAGTTAGCTAGCCAATTAGCATCAGCTAACAAAATGTTTCAAATAGGCTTTTATAATTTTGTAATTCATAATAATTCATATTGATTATATTCTTTTTAATTTTAAGCAAAAACTGTCTGTACTCTGATTTTGCTGTAAATGTTTAAAGCAAATTGCTTTGTCAGACTGGGGGGCGTTTTGCCCCATAGGTGGGGTAAAACGCCCCCTTGGTACAAATTTAATTTTTGTTAAAAATCTACACTCTTAAAAATAAAGTTGCTTCAAAAGGTTCTTCACAGCGATGCCATAGAAGAACCATTTTCGGTTCCACGAAGAACCATTCAGTCAAAGGTTCTTTAAGAACCATCTCTTTCTTACCTTTTTATAATCTGGGGGCTTATAAATTATAAGTGCATTACCGCCACCTATTTCTCAAATGGACCATTGACACTGCTAATTGAGATTGTAGATAGACTGTCAATGGTCCATTTGAGAGATAGGTGGCGGTAATGCACTTATAAGTCTGCGATCCGCCGTAGATGCTGTCACATCCTACAACCTCATCATCTGCAGAGAGAAACTGATATTCAATCACAACAAAATACAGATACTGATTAACTTAGAGGTATCATCGAAGATACACTCCAATACACTATTTTATGTTCTATTTTGTTGTATTTCTTTAAAGGGGTCATATGACGTTGCTAAAAAGAACATTATTTTGTGTATTTGGTGTAATGCAATGTGTTTATGCGGTTTAAAGTATAAAAAAAACACATTATTTTCCACATACTGTACATTATTGTTGCTCCTCTATGCCCCGCCTTTCTGAACGATGCCATAGAAGAACCATTTTCGGTTCCACGAAGAACCATTCAGTCAAAGGTTCTTTAAGAACCATCTCTTTCTTACCTTTTTATAATCTGGGGGCTTATAAATTATAAGTGCATTACCGCCACCTATTTCTCAAATGGACCATTGACACTGCTAATTGAGATTGTAGATAGAGTGTCAATGGTCCATTTGAGAGATAGGTGGCGGTAATGCACTTATAAGTCTGCGATCCGCCGTAAAGCAAGAAGA